ACTTTAAGTGAAGTGTAGGAGTAATTCTTAAGTGTCAGTGTTACTTTAAGTGAAGTGTAGGAGTAATTCTTAAGTGTCAGTCTTAGTATATTTAATATTTTCTCCAAAAGCTACACACAAATATCTGCCTGTTAGTCCAGCATTATGCACAGTTTTTTGTTTTGTTTTGTCTTTACCTTTGTTTCTTTTGTATATTTCTGATTAAACCTGTTTTCCACATCTTATAACTGAGAATAACACTCAGGTGGGGGGTGGGGAGGAGGACAGCTGTAATCTCTTGTCTTCAGTTCATCTCAGACCTCTAGTGGCAACTCTGAACCACTTAAGAGTCCTCTGGTGCAGTCTTAACTTTTCTTGAGAGTAAGAGTGATTCTTAAACTTAAGAATTTTGATAACTGGCACTTACACTTAAGTCTGAGAGTAGGAGCAAATCTAAGACATTTTCATCACTTAAGTCTAAAAATCCACTCTAAGAAGTTTGATAATTACGGGCCCTGGTCTTTCCCATGACCTTAAGTTGATAATATTTGGTTCATTGTTTTGTTTTTGTTCCCGCCCAACTTTGCGCTGCCAAACACTCGTTTAATCTTTCAGTTAACGAAAACATCACAAGTTATTCACTGGCATTTTCTACGCACCCCTTCAGAGAGTGTTGTCGGGAAAAATAGGTTTATTGTGTGCACAAGAAACCGTTCTGATAATCACTTCGTAATATCTTGTGCAAACCAGAGGTGTGTGATGCACACAAACATTTTTACACACAAGACAATACCTGGTGCAATTTAGTCTTTATGCATTTATAACATGTTATGTTTTGTTGCGTTTTTGGACAAAATAAGGAATAGTTTGTGTTTTCAGAAGGATTATTATAGATTTTTCTGAAACCATTCACTATGGTAGTTAAAGAGTTAAAGAGCATTTTGTTTAGTTACCAAAAGGATTATCTTGTGTGCAACAAACAGTTTTGCTTGCACCATAGTACTAACCAGTGAGCACCAGATAATTTAAGGATGTTTCCTGTCTGTACACACAACTTTCCACCGGCACACCAGATAGATTCTTCTCTTTATGAGAGACCTCATTTTCAATATAAGGTTCACCAGGTCCCCTTAAAGGTTCAGAACTTTTCTGTACAAATAAGGAAAACACAATAAATTAGATATTCATCTATCTCTTTTCTGCTCCCTGTCTGTGGTGGGTTCATGGGGACAAAAGTATCTTCACTCCATCCTACCAGACTCTTAAACTCTTCTGCTTAAAACCTCAACCCCACACCCAGAAAATATCCCACCGTTCTTCAGTTGAGGCTTCAGAAAAGTAATGGAAATGGAAAATTAGATGTTTGGGAGAACATTTTAAAGAACCTAGTTATCAAGTGAAATGAATGAGCTCTTTGTTGATGTGCAGCCTCTCCTTCATTAAGCAGCACACTTACTAACATGTGGTCAAAGGTACACTGAGCAAACCTGGTAGAGTTAATGGGATCCCCGATTAGGTGTAACATTAGACTTCATATGATAAACAAATTCTTTAACTGTAAAATAAAGACTGTAAAAATACTGTAGGATGTTCAGTTTTTATAATTTTTAAACCAAAAGTTTAAAAATATATTACACGGATGGGGCNGAAAATCTAACTGCTCACTTTTACTCAGTACTTTTACTTTTAATACTTAAGTAGATTTTGTGTCAGAATTTTACTTTTAAGTACAAAACACATCTGATACTTTAAGACTTTTACTCAAGTAATATTTTTAGAGAAGATTTTAACTTTTATCAAAGTATTTTTATGATAAGATACTTGTACTTTTACTCAAGTATCACTTTGAGGTACTTTATACAACACTGTGTCTAAGGTTGATTAACTGTGGTTGCCATCTTGCATCGAATTTATTTAAAGAAGTTGTAGATGTACATCTGAGGAGTACTTTCTGAAAGATATATCCTGCACTTCATGACAGAATCAGACAAAGTAGACTCCAAAACTTTAAACTGAGATGAGTCTCAGCTACTACCAGACCAAATTTTAGATTCATATTCATATCTCGAAATATTATGGACATTTTTGTATTTTTTATTATCAGTTAGCCAGGTCACACATCCTGACTGAGTCAAAAATGTAATCAATGAATACATTTAGCAGCATTAACATCTGCCCGGTGGTTGGTTAGGTATTTCATTTAACAGACACAAAGAGAATAGAATATGAAAATGATAATTGATAATGTAATAATGATAAGTGATAAATGTTTTCAGTGAGGTGTAGTCAGTGATCTGAAGTAAATACTGACAGATATTTGGCATAAGAGTGCGTACTTTATGTACCCTCTGCTTGTGCACTTCTACCTATTTCATGGTAAAGAGAGCCCTGCTTCAGTGGGTTGGACTTCTTGGAGCTCGGCATCTCAATCTTCATCACGTGATCACAACATTGTTTCCAGTGTCCTGAAACAAAATGATTCAGTTCAGTTTAGGTTCTTTTATATCACCAAGTCACAACAAATGTCATCTCAGGTCTCACATACCCTATAAAAATTCAATTAATAAAAGTTATCAATCTAAAAAAAGCCAACAGATTGGGTTGAATCTTCACTTTGTCACAGTCTCATCCTTGGCAACAGTGAAAAGAACGAACACCTCCTTTTCTGCCGTGATCTACAGATTCTGCTGTAATTCCAAACGCCTACATGATAAAGGTGTGGTCGGCAATTCGTATCATCAGTTATGCAAATAATCAAAACAAAAGCTGGCACGCTAACAGCATCGCTGCAATAGTGTCAGCCAAGGTCATTTTATATGTAGAGGAAATGACACGCCTGATGAACTTTATAACAAAGCTAACGAAGATGCAAATTTTCAGGTCAGTTTTTTGGAGCAGTTATCTAAGGTAAATAAATATTTAAGTGATATATTTTAACTTTGATAT